TACTTTTTAAGCGACTTTTAATCCAGGTGGGTCCACATTCTGGGAGTCTTTTGTCTACTTCTTTCAAACCAGGTCTACGTGCTGTCCTGTGGACTTTATGACCATCCTCTTGCTGTTCTGGAAAATTCTGTCCCATCAACCTGTCACCGTTTGCCTGGCAGATCCCTTATTGTTAAATAGTTAGGTGGTTTCCCCTTTGTTCTAGTTATAAATACCACCATGATGCACAGTTCTGGTACATGCACCTTTTCCTGTATTTTGGATTATTTCATGTGGATTTCATCCCGGCAGCAGGGTTGCGAGGGCTCGTTGCCCGTGCTGGGCGGCTGGGTGGCAGAGTGTTTCCTGAGTGTGGAGGATCCTTTGCTGAAGGACTTGAAGCCCCCATGCAGCTGGCCGCCTGTGGGGGGTCTGGGACTAGCAGGAGAAGGGTCAGTGGTGCAGGACCAAGACCACAAACACCCACCTCTTAGAGGCTGTGTTCCCATTTGCCAGGAGGACAAAGAGGCTGGAGCAGAGGCCATGTGAACCAGGAGAGGGTGGGTTCCCCAGGACACGGGGGATGTGACTACTAGGATTCTCCCTCGCCTCATCCAGACAGATGTGACCCAGAGGGACAGAGGGACTTGCTCGTGGTCACAGATGGGTTGGTGCTGGGCCCTCTGGCGACAGACCTATCTGTTTGCCCCAGTGCTGGAAGGGGATCTGGACAAGAGCGAGGCAGCCTCCTCTCCTCTGTCCCCAGCATGTCAGGCATAGCGCCAGCTCCTCCTCGCCTCTATCCCCAGTTTACAGATGAGAAAATTGAGGGTTGGGTCAAATGACAGGTCCAGATTTCCACTCCAGGTTGTCTGCTTCCAAATTCAGCTGCTTTTCCCTCCACTTTTGTGGCCCAGATGCTGGAGACTTGGACAACTGTTTATCCTGGCTCTGAGGCCCTGCTCCTAGTTTCAGCCAGGCTTTGGGGTACCGGCTTTGGAGGCCAAAGGGGACCCTCATCCGGGGTTTAGCTGGCATCAACCACTGTGGCAGGGCTAGGGGTGGAGTAAAAAGATAACAGCTGGCATTTATTCAGCACTTACTGTATGCTAGACACTGCTCTAGGCATGGGATGTGTACTGTCAGACTTAACGCTCGCAAAAGCCCTATGGAGG